GTGTGTGTGTGTGTGTGTGTGTGTGTGTGTGTGTGTGTGTGTGTGTGCATTTTGAGTTGACAGCGTGCCACTAGTGAAGATGAAGGAGGAGGCTTCCGTTTATGGAAAAACGGTGGGTATGATGTTAACTCCGGTATGATAGAAACAAACTGCTGGAGAAAATGTGCTTATTTTCTTTGATTTTATGAATTGTCACGGTTTTGCTTTGTGGAAATTGCCAGCTGATCATACGTCCAACAGAAACTGTGGTTTACTTTAACTTAAGTTAGAACTATTATCAAATTAAATCATACAACTCAAACATTCCACCCCATAAATCCAAGTTTGAAGATGTAAAAGGACAAAATCTTGAGCTTCTTTATGCTATTTAGTTTTGGTTCATCTCAGAAATTCGTTTTTTCATCTTTGAGACAGACTGCCTTTAAAACAGCACCTTGTTGCTAAGCATCCAGCTCTATGTGTGTGTCTGTGCACAGACTTTTTGATACTTGGGTTTGACACCTAATGATTCAAACTCCAGACTGTTTTTGAAAAATATTCCCTGGCCTACAGTGACACTAAACTACACACTTTATTAAGTTTAAATGGTCATTACCCTACACAAGCAACGGAAATGCAAACTGAAAAGAAATACATTATGTATTCGTATGGGTTATGCAAAACAACTACACACAGTCACGAAGAACACATTGCGTACTTGTCCATGCTCTCATGTTTGTTTTTGTGAATGAAGATTCTGTCTTTGTGACACAACCTGCAATCAACAACAATTGTGCCCTTTGAGATTTACATTTATGAATGGGATTTGGAATTAAAAAGAAAAAATTAAATGGACAGATTGTCATCTTTAAATGGGGACACAATTACTTCATTCAGGTAGAAATAATGCAGATAAATGCAATAATATACTGTAGCTCATAGAGATGCTCCTGTTTGACAGGGTCTATTCCGTGGTGCTACAAACAGCCTTTATTAGGAGAGTTAAGTTTTTCTGCTAAGCATGAATCTCTTTCTACAATGCCTTGGAAACACATTGACACCTGGCGGGAATTTGGGAAGAAAATTAACAACTTAAGTTTAACTTTGCTTGTTTGAAGACCTACGTTTTGTCTTTTCGACTATCAGTAAAACATAAGTGTGCTTGCAGGGCACACATATGATCCCAGGGAGACCATTTCTACATACATGAGTGACAGAAATATATGCACCAACTTGCCCATGCAGCTGAAGGGGAAAATTAATCTTAGTTATTTTGGTCAAGTTGCAGTACAAGGAATCTGAGACATCGACTCTGTCTGCAGGCTTCCATTCCCCAACCCCCTTTCTCATAAGACCAAAAAACGCAAACCACCAGCCACATGCACCCCCTTCCCCTTCTATTTAAAAATGCACGTTTTCAGAATGCGCATTCTAATCCAAAATAGTTTTGACAATTTAACTTGAAATGTGATTAATACAGGCACACGCCCACAAACACAGCTAGGAGCTGTTAAAGAGGTAATGCGAGAGTGACAGGAAGCAGGATCCCCTGTCCCCTTTCAGCTGTCCCGTCTCTGCTTTAAAAAGAATGACCCCAGGACAGCCATTGTTATCTGTGTGTGTATATGCGTGCACTCATTCAACAGTTGGGGAGACTTGTGATGATAATGAAAATATCTTTGTCCCAAAAAAGGGAAGCTGGTTGTAAATGCGTGACATGGTGTTTGGGAAAAGGAAGGAAGATAAGAGGGGCTAACAGCCTATTTGTTGCAACACAGACGTTGACAACAGTGTTTTCCTCAGGATCTGTACACAAAGTACTTCTTAATTTTTCTGGATTTAAAGCTTTTTAAAAATATAATATTCAAACATAGTGTGTGTTATTTTTAACACAGACAGAACTAATCGTGGATGGTTGGTTTCCTTGTTGCCTCATTAGCTTTCTTTCTTTCCTTTTTTGTGTTTGTAAGCCGCAAGCCTTGACATTAACACACGCCTAACCTGACATTTGCAGTCCCTCCCATTTTCTTTCATCCGATCATTTTCAGTGTGCACATCTACTTCCCCATGTCTATCAGAAGTTTTGTTCCTCCTTTGTCCAGGTGCTACGCAAATGAATGAAAATCTGGGGATGCAAATGTAATGGAAAGCATGTTGCTTGTGTTGCACATTCATCCAGCTGAACAGGTTGGGGTGTGGAAAAGGGCGGGGAAGGGGGGGGGCTACCTCTTGTAACCTCATTTACCTGTGGACGATGATACATGATACAATAAATGGAGAAACAAATATTGGAAATAAATCATAGGATTAATAGCTGCAGCTTTTTATCTTAAACAATCTCTTTAATTTCAGCCAACACATTGCTTTGAGCTTCCATGTGTGATCCTTTACGTGTAGTTAATTTGATTCATCTTTAAAATTGATATACCAATATTTTATAGTTAAGTTTTACTTAAATAGAAAGAATGCATTCATTTCAGTCAAAAAGAAAAGTCACCCTCTTTAAGTTTTAAGCTT